GTCTCAGAGAGGTTCGCTCGCTTGCTCAGGGCCACACAGTCAGAGGCAGAGCTTGTCGCTGGCCTCTCCCCACCCAGCGCCCATGCTTTTAAACAGCACTCTGATGCCTCCCAGCCTGCCAGGACTGACTGTCTGCACCCATAATGGCCCATGTCACTGAATGCCCATAAAAGGCCTTGCAGAGGGGTATTACTCCCATTTTCCAGATGAGGAACCTGAGGCTCACAGGAAGGAAGTAGCTTTTGGGTTATGAATCTGAGATTTGAACCCAGCACCCTCCAGCAGCAAGCCCGATGTCCCTGCTGACTTGGGAGAGAGAATATAAGAAGGGGAGAACACACGGAGGAGAAGAGGGCGGGGAAAATTCGGGAGGGGACCAGGGGTGTACTGCAGCCTGATCTGAGCCCCCGCAGAAATGCACCGAGTACTGGCCGGAGGAGCAGGTGGAGTACGATGGCGTGGAGATCACCGTGCAGAAAGTCATCCACACCGAGGATTACCGGCTGCGGCTCATCTCTCTCAAGGTGAGGCGGGGCCAGGGCTGGGCTGGGAGGATGGAGAGTAGGGCTTCATCGAGCACTCCACGGGGAACAGGGCCCAGAAGCCCACGTTTCTGAAATAAAGGCTTGTGTCATTCCTGGGATTTACTGATAATCAGGGCTGATGAAGGAGGAAGGAGTGAACCGAGGGGCCAGAGGCAGGCCCAAACCCCACTTGCACGTCCCAGACTTCATTTGCATTCACTGCTCTGGGCTCTGTCTCTACACTGTCACTCATAAAGCCTTCTAGCTGTGCTTCAAATGCACCCCAGGCCAGGAGGTGTCAGCAACCCCAGCACTGTCCTTGTCACTGAACATTCGTTAGGACTTTGAAGTCCCCTCCTGGAACATCCCTTCTACCTGGTATGCGGCACTTTTGGCCGGTAGTGCCCGATCTGTCCACCAGGGGACAGGCTCTCCTTGCTGCTTTGGGGTTCAGGGAAGCTGTAGTTACAGAAAACGGAATCAGGGGAATTAGTGGCTCTGTTTTTGGGAAATGGTAGACCCATGTTTGGGGAAGATGGAGCCCACTGTACTAACCTAGAAAGTTGGAAGAAGTGAGCCAGGAGCTAGGAAGCTGGCGCTAACCAGAAACAGCCTGGGAAGCCCGCTGATCCCGACGGCCACCAGGTGCTGCCACAGGAGGTAAGCTGGAGGCCTGAGGGCCAGCTTCTCAGCAGCCCCTCTGCTCCTGGACAGGATACCAAGCAGGGTGTCAGGGGGCTCAGGGCAGTGCCCACCTGAGCAGCCCTGAGACATGAGTCTTACGAGGGATGAGGGGCCAGGAAGTGAGGAGCAGAGGCTGTGGCTATCACCAGCAGGTAACCCAGGACCTGAGGACCTGGCTTCCTGTGTACAAATGCCCCAGAAAGAGGCTGGGGTCAGGTGGGGCTGCTCATCTCAACGCCAAGGGGCTGCTCGGGGCACTTTGGGGCTAGAAGATACTTACATAAACCATTATAAGCACCTGCCCTGGGCTTGGTTTTGGGTGGGCCACTGGGAACACAGGGCTGTCCGAAGCCTGGACTCTGACCTCAAGAAGCACCCATAAGATGTTTAGTGCTGAGCTAGAGATAGGTAAAGAAACAGGAGGAGGACATACTGCCAGCTGGCACACTCAGGGAGGGCTTCCTAGGAGTGGTGATGCTGGTGTCTTAAAGGATGAGTGAGCACACCGTGCCCCTGTGTGCGTGCTGCAGATCGTATCTGCAAACCTTTCGGAGTGTGGGAATGTCAAGTGCAAGTATGCAGGGCGAGGCTCGTCTGGGAGGGAGACCCCGTACCGGGGGTCTGTACCAGGCTGAGGACCAGGAAGAGTGGTTTGTCCAGACAGCAGTGAGGGCCACCGTGGGGATCTCGGTCTGCTGGGCTGCAGTAACAGACTACCAGAGACCAGGCAGCTTATGAATGAGAGGTTCATTTCTCACAGCTCCGGAGGCTGGGAAGTCCAAGATTTGGGCATGGGCGAGGTCAGGTTCTGGCGAGGGCCTGCTTCCTGTTCATGTGTCCCATGCCAGAAGGGCTGAGGGAGCTCTCTGGGCTTCTTTTATAAAGTCACTAACCCTGTTCATGAGGGCTCCCTCTCATGACCTAATCACCTCCACAAATCCCCACCTCCACGCACCTTCACACTGGGGATTAGGCTTCAGCATACGGATTGGGGGGGGGGGGCACAAGCGTTAAGCTCTAAGCAAAGGGTTTTGAGCAGGAGGGCCACGGTGTGGACTTGGGGGCAGCAGAGTTTGGGCTGCTATGGACCTGGGGCTGTCAGGCAGGAGGGAGCGGTCCCACCTAGAGATAGATGACCAAGGTCAGAGTGGAGGAGGTGGTGGCAAGGGGGCGTGGAGAGGAGGTACAACTGGTGACCCTGAATGAGCACAGAGAGGGGCCAGGCAGGCAGACCACAGCGAGGGAGAGTCTGGGGCTCTGGGTCGTGTGAATAAAGGACAACTAGCCATTTGTTAAGAAAGGGACCCCTGGAAACGGTAAATCGGAGAAGGGGCTCTTGGCCTCTCTTTGGGTGGCCCTGAAGTTCCTGGGCCGGAAGTGAAGAGATCAGTGTTGGCACTGCTGGGCAATGTGGTGATGAGAGGTAGGGTCCCACTGTCGGTGTCCTCCTCTCTGCGTTTCCCTCCTCTCCCCTGTCTATGAGCTGCTCTGTGGGCTGAAGGAGTTCCCATGTCCCTGTCACGTAACCATGGGCCACTGTCTCCTGGGCAGAGCTGGACGGAAGA